AAAAACAAAAACAGTCCCCATCTTTTGCCATACATATTCCTTTATACTCTTTTTTCCTTTCTTCCCTCTTAAGATCTCTTCTTCCCCTCCCATGACACCCCCCACACACCAATACACTTAAAACCGAGTCTGCATATGGGGGAGGGGTGTAATACTTGTCTTTCTGAGTCTCAGTGGTTTTGCTTAACCTAATGCTCTTCTCTAGTATCTATTTACTGAAAAAAAAAAAAAAAAGCCCCAGAAATTTGTCTTTCTTATATAGGTGTTATACTATCTCTTCTGTATGATTCCAGTTTCAGCACATATGCTGCTGAAGTGAGTACATAGAAAGTTTTATTTCTTGCTACATGCCCACAAAACTGCTTACCACATTTACAGGTAGTAAATGTGTTGTGTTTCGTAAGTCCTTCTAATATCTCCATAAGCTATTTCATTGGTTTGGAAATAACAACTTAAGTCCTCCCAGGCTCCAAGAAACATTTCATCCTTCTAGAATCAAGGCCATTAGTTCTCTACTAGAGACAACACTGCCCTGGTATATCTGACAAGTCTGGAGATGCTTTTAATTTTCATAACTGTATGAGCAGCAGGGACTTATTACGAGCTTGTATGGAAAGGACAGAGATCAGCAAGGCTGCTAAATATCTTATAATGAACAGGACCAGTTACCACAACAGAGACTTTCTCAGGTGAAAAAGCACATAGTGCAGAGATGAGATCTATATTAAAACCATAGCATCCTATTATCTGTGCAAACTTTCCCTGACTGCCTTCATAGTAAGTCCCAGGTTTGCAGTCAAGACTGACTAAGGCATACCCCTAGTTCAGCTCTCATCTCACTCTAGCAGGGTTCTACTTATCTGCTGTCCTGTTCTATAACTTTTTCAAAAGCAGAGACCATCTTTTTCATCTGCATGTCTGTTATAAACAAAATATCTTATTTATTGTTTTGTACATGAATATTAAAGAACACATGTTGATATTTAATAAACAAGAGAGAAAGGAGCACTTATTCTCTCTCTCTTTTTTAAATGTGCACTAGTGTTCTGCTTGCATGTATGTCTGTGTGAGAGTGTCAGGTCCCCTGGAACTGGAGTTACAGGCAGTTGTGGGCTGCCATGTGAGTGCTGGGAATTGAATCCAGGTTCTCTGGAACAGAAGCCAGTGCTCTTAATCACTGAGCCATCTCTCCAGACCCAGTGCACTTATTCTTATGGCTATATCACAAACAGCTTTTTAAAATTACTCAGAAAATACACGTTTGATAAGATTAAGAAACAGAGATTCACGGTGAAAAAAAAATGAAGTAGAAAAATAATATTTACAAAAATGTAGAAGCTGGGCTGGCAAGATGACTCAGCAGAAAGAGGCATCTGCTGCCAGCCTGAGTCCAGTCCAAGGGACCCACACAGTATAGGAGAGAACTCACTGTCTCCATTTGTACTTTGACTTCCACTAATGTGCCATGGTTTGTGTATAGATATGTACATACACACACATACAAAATAATACATAAATAAATAAATGCAATAAAGATGTCTAAAAAAATTTTAAGGCAGAGACATCATATACAATTGAAAGCGGTGAACTTTGTAAAGCAAGCCTGAGGCTCTGAAGGTGTGCTAGGACCCCTGCAGTGTCAATCTGGGGAGAAGCTCTACTTACTTGAGGACAGCAATCTCCTGCACTGTGATGGCCCTTTTGTCTTTGGTTCCCATATAGGAAAATATGTTTGGTTTTACTCTGGTGAGACAGAAACAAAGTATTCTGAAATTAATATACATTAACCAAAGCACATTTCTAATAACTTGTTTCAAAATATATGTACTAACATACTAAGAGAATAAGGAGAAACTTTAATTAAGATTTTATTGAGGAAAATTTAAATGAACATGCAAATTAAAGTAGCAAAAGCTGCCTTCTTAGCAGGGCTTGATTTCAAGCCTTGTGACTGCCAAGGAATCACTTGGTTTTCAGACTTGGCTAACTAGTAACAAAAAACAAAAGCTACACACTTCTACAGTCAGAAACAATTTGTTAAGTTACATAAAACTGTGACAATAAATGGGAAAATATTCTAGAGATATAATGTAGTACTCTGAACATTTCCTATCTTTAGTTTTTAAGAAGTTACAGTAATGTGATTTTTACCTTAAATATATCTCTGCATTAAAAAAAAAAGCCAAATGCTGAAACAGGGATCTGGATAGTTCTTTTTTTTCTTGTGTTTTTAAGACAGGGTTTCTCTGTGTAACCCTGGTGTCCTAGAACTCGATCTGTAGACCAGGCTGGACTCAAACTCACAGAGGTCCACCTTGCCTCTGCCTCCCAAGTGTTGGCATTAAAGGTGTGTGGCCACCCCAACCCAGCTGGCTAGATAGTTCTGATATAAAAATATACAAAGTTCCATAGAAGAATATTTACATAGTTCCAGAAATCCTAACTGTATATCCCAGAGGAACCATGTCCACCTGTCTACATCCTTAAGAGGACTATCTAGTCTCTTGAAAATGAATCATGGTCAAGACAGCACACACTCTTTTTTTCTGGAAGCTAGTAAAAAAAGTGAAATCTTATTTAATTAGGTATGGTATTCAGGGCTAACCTGTGTTCTCCTCAAACTCCTAAGTAGAAGTCTTGACTCCCAGCATCTCATAATATAATATTTGGAAACAAGCCTTTAAAGAGATGACCAGGTTAGAATGTGGCTTCTCAGGTGGACTCTTCATAGGGAGTTCCAGGACAGACAGGGCTAGAGACCCTGTCTGAAAAACAAAGAAACAAAAAAGAAAAAAGAAAACAAAAGAAAATAAACCATGGAGAGATGGCTCAGATGTTAAGAGCACTGGCTGCTCTTCCAAAGGTCCTAAGTTCAATTCCCAGCAACCACATGGTGGCTCACTACCATCTGTAATGAGATCTGGTGCCCTCTTCTGGCCTGCAGGGATGTGTTCAGGGAGAACACTGTATACATAATAAACAAATAAATCTTTAAAAAAAACAAAACAAAACAAAGAAAAGAAACTACATATTCTGATCTTGGAACTTCCAGGCTACAGAACTGGGAAAGAATTATTACTTTTGCTATTTAAGCCATTTAGTGGTGTTTTGTTTCGATCATCTGGAAAACATATGCATTGTATAACCATGTTTAAACTGAGTTAAATTTTCACAGAATACAAGTTTTCTGTGGTATCCACAGACATTTCTTTTCAAAATTTGTATTTTTTAATTTTTGGTGTATGAGTGTTTGCCTGCATATATTTATATATGTACCACAAGCATACCTCGTGCCCCTGGAGACCAGAAAAGAGTGTCAGATCCCTTGAAACTAGAGGAAATCTGGATGCTATAGAAGAGCAACCAGTGGCCTTAATTGCTTAATCTCTTCCTATTTACTAAAACCACAAACACAAAAAATCATGGCACTTCACCTACCCTCCAAACCCTATGATCTTTGCTGTGTTTTCATTCCTTTGTGCAAATTTCATTTTTCCCTGGCTGTACTGGGAACTCTTAATTGTATGTGAATTATTTATTACCCCGTCTTGAATTATTAGCACGGGGGTAAAAAGTTTTTTGATCTATTTCCCACAAACATTCCCATTAGGGAGCACATTTGGCACTTGCTGATCTCTGATTCCTGCTCTTTTTTCCCAATGGCATTGAAAGAGAGAACACATTCCTATTTTACTGATTTTGTGTAAGAACAAGAATGAGACACTAACCGTAAATATTTGGACAATACATTGATGGCATCCATGGTGTCTTTGTTTTCCTTGTATAGGACAAAGTGGCAGTAGCTTCCCCGAGATTTTGGCCAAGAATGTTTTCTCGGATCTTAAAAACAAAAAATTTAAATGTCATATATACCATAGTAAATAAAAAGAAAGAAAGAAAGAAAGAAAGAAACTCTATGGAGATCATTTTTTAAATACAGAACCACTCAGTGGCCAATCAGATGCAGCCTAACAGGAAGCATAAATAACTGTATGAGCCATACATACTAAACTTTCTGTAACTGGATACTAAAACACTATCTGTCTACATTTAAAATCAAAAACAAAGTGTAAGTGGTATGGAAAATGAGTAGGACTAAGCAGCCATCTTCCCTCAGCAGATACATGGAACCCATGGTGCTGTGAGGATTACTGGATCAGCACACATCAGGGCCAAGGGGCCCTATAGCAGCTACATTCAAGAGGAAAGAACTGTTACAACAGATCCTACCATTCCTACTTCACAGCTAGGTATTCATTCACACATGGTAGCACAGATGGAGACAGGGTCTGTAAGGACTTGTTTTAATGACTTTGTAAATTTCCTAAAGGCCATTTCTACCACAAAAGTTTAGCTAATATCGACAAATGGTCTATAGATACCTACATGAGAGAGTAGCTGGCATTCAAAGCCTGATTCTTATGGTGTCAGTGTGTGTGAAAACTTAAGCCATGTTAAATGCTACCTTCTGAGTCAGTGTAACATGACTGCCCAACTCTTTGGGGACAGATACAGTCTATGACTTGGGATACCCTGATTGTTAAAACTGTTCTTTTAATTGAATACTTCAATTATATTATAATCTAGAAACACATTTTAAACAAGATTTAGATTTAAAATGCTCAGAGTAAAGAAATTAGGACTCTGAAAAAAATAAGCTGCAGCTACAATTCGCAGATACTGCAAATATCCATGAGTCCTATATGACATAGAGGTAGGCTGTTTTTCAAGGAGCATATCTAGTTTCATTGACATAAAAACTCCATGAAAGAAAAATTATGAAAAAGTATTTTGTACAATCAACTAGAAAGAATCCTCTTGTTTTGAAAACTGTCCTTAAAAAGTCTTTTCATACAAACTTAGGAATCTTCAGCGGCTTCTTCTTCCTGGGACTGAAGGTAACTGACCATCTGGCTTTGTCAAGCACTTCTTGATAACAGGTTAGTGATTTCATATAAGATGTAAAGAACCATCAAGCAATGTAGAGAAGTAGTAACCCACCTCAGAAAACCATCACAGTATGTATATGCCTAGAAAAATCAATTTCCTTCTTGATGAATGTGAGTTTCTGTCATGTATAGAAAAATATTACAAGTATCTCCTTAGCTCTTGGTGTGAAGTTCTTACAATTTCCTTAGGGCTGTGAATGGAAATATCTTTTTCGTTTTTTTTTCTTCCAGATCATTACCACTTAAGCAAAGTTATATGTACTCAGCACTTATGACAACATTGGTATTTCATCTTGTCTACACGAAATACCAATCACTCTTACCTGCTGCAGTTCTGACCTCTGTCCAGATGCACAGCATAAAGAGCACAAAAGAGCAATGTTTAATTTATAATACTGTTAAAGTGCTTTAGAGGTGAACATGCACATGATCGCATGGTAAGGGCATACTGAAGACTTCTACAGCACTTGGTAATTATGTGGTAGGTCAACAGCCATTGAGACATCAACAATAGGATGTTGTAGAGGCAAACAGCGAACAAACAGGAAAACTCCCCTCTAGGCACAGCCTTCTTGTCTCATTATCTTCACAATGGGCATGTCAGTTCATCCTCTAAGCTGTGTCTGTACCCATGGGATATAGCAAATTCTCATGACTAGAACTGAATGCTTCTTCTTTAACATGGTTTTTTTCATAAATATATCAAGACATGTTTGAAACACTGTGTGTGACTATTGTGATGAGAATACAACTGCTGTTTTGCTTCATGCCTTTTTTGGTGTGTGTTTTAGAAGTTTCCTGCATTGAAATGTAAAAATCTTTCAAATCAGCTAGGTGGTGGTGGCACACACCTTTAGTCCTAGCACTTGGGAGGCAGAGGCAGGAGGATCTCTATGAGTTTGAGGCTACCCTGGTCTACAGAGCGAGGTCCAGGACAGACAGGGCTGTTACATAGAGAAACCCTGTCTTGAAACAACAATCCCCACGTACACACCCAAACAAAACAAAACAAAAACAAAAAACCCAAAACAATAACAACAACAACAACAAAAAAACTGAATGCTGCTGAATGATTATTAGAGAATTTTTCTCTATCCACCAACTTACAGATGGAAAGATTTAGGAGACATGTCCAATGAACACAATGCTCTGTCCTTCCTTTACCATCATCTGAACAAGTTGTGTGAATTGAAGAGATCTGAGAAATCTAGGGAAAACTGAGCCTGTGCTGGGTAGTAGTCAGGAAGTAATTTTGATCTTATTGAATGTGCTAATGGTTTGGGATTTTAGTCCTCATTTGGTAAATAGATACTGAAGAATTTATGAGCAAAATGAGATGTCATATTAATTTATTTTAAAATGCTCCCAAAAGGAAAAAAGTGTAGGGATAGGGGTGGGGGTATAATGGACTAAACAGAAACAACAGAATGTCGGTCATCTTGAAGGGGGTTGATAGAGACACAGAACTAACTACCTTCTCTATCTGGGCACAGAGTTGAAAATGTCCACAATAAAAAGCTAAAATAATCAAGTATGACACAAGATGGTGAAGTGTGGCTATATATTTTAACTTCTGGTTTTTAAGCAGCTACATGTAAGTACAAAGGCAAGAAATAAATACAGCCCCAAGACTGAAAACCTAAATGTTATCTTCCCTTAACAGAAACCAGGACAAACCAGTGAATTTGGCTCACAAGCATGCACTTCCTATTAGGAAACCCAAGCACAGAATATGAATTCAATGACCTCTGCAACTAACAAACGTAAATATTCATTTTCTAAGAATATTCATTATACAAGAGTACAACACTTGCACTGGAAATATTCTGAATAAGTAAAAACTCTAAAAACTCCAGCCTCTGAGAACACTATGTAATGTACACTTAGCCTTCAAGTTAAGTGAAGTTAGGATGACTTTCA